TTATGGATTCATATGGTCTTTTGAGTCTTATATCATTTAGATATGGGATTTGGTGGAGTATTAGATATTGCATGAGAACTTGAGACCATATTTGCACTTTTGACCTAGAATGGTAAAGGGACATGCATGGTGCATGCATGTCCATAAAGCAATCATTTTTATGGACCATTAGGATCCCCTTAAGCTTCTGTAGGAGTCGAAATTGAGGGCTGAACTGGTTAAGATCATTGAAATGTCGGTTTGGCCTTCAGATCGCTCTCACGACGTGAGACATGAGGTCTCACGACGTGATCAGGAAAACTCGGTCCCTCGCTGAGTTGTTTGAGTCAGGAGCGAGTCTCTGGGATCGGAACTGATGACTCTCACGACGTGGCCAAGGGCTGGTCACAATGTGAGACGTTGTTTTGGGATTTTGGGCCTCATTGGGCCACTAGTTTTCTGACTTTGGGTTTTCTTGGGCGTGGGTCCATTTGGGGCTTCGGGTGTCACTTAGAAATTTGGGCCTTCTTGGATTTGGGCCCATGCTGGGTGTTGGACATTTAGAATGTTGGGCCACTATTGGGCTTTTGGAATATCTGGGTTGGGCCTTGGTTGTTGGGCTAAGTGAGGAAAGAGTAAAATGTTCTTTTATCCTATGAGTTAGACAAATAAATGAGAGTCATAGTTTTGGTTATGGCCCAACTTATTAATTGGGTTTTATTTGATTGGTTAGCATGGGGATTTTTCGGATCAGCAGCCTGAGCTTTTACCTGAGATATTCAGCAGCCAGAGGTGAGTTTTCCTCACTGTATTTGTGGGTCGAAGGCACCAACACCGGCCCACTAGGTTATTTATCCGGGTATATAGGATGTTGTTATGCTGTGGTGATCTATTAGATATGTGTCCTGGTGTATAGGATGTTGTTATGCAGTAGTGATCTGTATATATGCATGTTTGTCTATTAACTAGTTATGTGTTCTTTTATTATGTCTATGTCCACATGTTATGGTTTTGGGGTGAGACTTTACTGCTATATGCTTGAGTCAACAGACCGGGGGTATTCCAGCCCGATGGCTGTGGAACCGAGGGTATTCCAGTCCGATGACTGAGCGGACCCATGGTATATCGGTATTCTAGTCTGATGACTGATTGCGCCGGGGATAACCCAGCCCGATGGTTGTGGACCCGTGGGTATTCCAGTACGATGACTGAGCGGACCCATCATGCTTGTTTGTATATGATATGTGTATTGTGTGGTGGTACTTTGGGGGAAACTCACTAAGCTTTGGCTTACCGTTTCAGTTTATTGTTTCAGGTACTTCCTAGGATCACGTGATAGCGAAGGTGTGATTGTGCACATTCCTTCGGATTTTGTTATTAGGATTTTGGGATATTATGATATTTGATAAACACTGGTTTTGTAAACAATGATGACTTTTGGTTGTTTTTGAAAAGTTAAATTTTTTTGTGATTTTTGGGATGTTACAATTAATAGTGATACAACTTTTGGTCACTCATTTTTTATCTTATTAACCTTATTTATCAATTGTATCGCATCTGATCATATTTTACCGAAATATGAAAAATCTATTATTTTCATTTGTCGATGCTAATCTTTAGTGACGGTTGATGACGGGAATTTCCCAAATGTCACAGACTTATAATAAGTAAATACCCTTGTTTCCCCCATTTTAAATATACATATTGATTTCTCTATGTTTAGGGACATGTGTGACCATTTTAAGAACATATTGGTCATTCCCTAAAGGCATTAAGTCATAATCTAACGGGAAATCAGGTATATAGTAATGGGAGTACAATGTTTGCTCTTTTCGGTACCCTGATTATCTAACCATGTCATCAAGGTCGTGTACTGAAAATAGGTTTGTGTCAATGAAGTCAACGTATGATATAATATCTTCTACATATTTTCTACCTGTGGGCTTGGTGAACACTCCACTATAGTGTATACTTAATGTAAAATAATTAACAAATCCATCTACAATCACAAATAATAATGGGTAAACACATTGTAAGTCTTTGATCAACACATTATAAGGGAAAAATAACTTATTTTCCTGTAAAACCTTACCATATTCAGCTTCCAAGTCTATCTATTTTTTACTCTTTTCACGTACACTCCCAACACAAAGGACCATTTTCGTTCGTCAAGATAAAAATCTTAAAGAATTAATATCTTCTACATATTTTCTACCTGTGGGCTTGGTGAACACTCCACTATAGTGTATACTTAATGTAAAATAATTGACAAATCCATCTACAATCACAAATAATAATGGGTAAACACATTGTAAGTCTTTGATCAACACATTATAAGGGAAAAATAACTTCTTTTCCGGTAAAACCTTACCATATTCAGCTTCCAAGTCTATCTGTTTTTTACTCTTTTCACGTACACTCCCAACACAAAGGACCATTTTCGTTCGTCAAGATAAAAATCTTAAAGAATCAATTTCCTCAGTTAATCAGAAGTCAAGAGGACAAACCAGATTGTAGGTTTCTTGGGAGAGTAGGAGAGGGACGAAGTTGGTTTGAGAGGATGGAGTACGTGGGGCATAATCATTTCCCGCATTAAATGTGATGCCTTAAGTGAAATGGCCAATTTTGCCTCGCTTGATTTGCACGTGATTTCACTTAATGGCTCAATTTTGACAGAGTGAGTCAAAAGGACCATCTATAAAAAAAATTCAAACCATAGGGACCATCCTTGAATACTTTTGGATCAAACTCTATATTCTAAGATACCAAAAGGACCATTTATGAAGATTTGTCTTATTTTTATTTTGGATGAACATGTTTTCCTCCATAGGCAAAATTAACCGTGGCAAATCATTTTCCTAAGATAACCAATTATTATTTTTATGTCGATTTTGACAAAAGAACATCTTGACAAAAGTGCAAATTTTGGCAATGGATTCATGAAGAACATGTCAAATTGAACCCAAATTTTGAAGAAGAGTTTGCAGCTATTAATTTGTCTATATTAAATGGTATTATATGATTCCACTACCAAACCAAAACCAAGACAAGTAACATACGATTCAACTGACTAGCTAAGACATGCATGAAAACACCTTATTAATAATTGTCTCACGTAGGATATCATGTAAGCAAAACCTAGATAAATCAGTCATAAGGATTGTATGTGTACAAAAACAACAAAGATTCATTTTGTAAAAAGAACATTAAAGACTAAATATGTATAAACTGACTTAACATGATATAGCCGGTCTTATTTTGTAAAAATAAATAAATAAATAATGACTAAAAATGTTCAAACTTAAAACTATGTTACCCTATTAAGTAAGAGTTGATGATAAGATTCAAATTTATATAAATAATAATGCATAATGTTTTGGTTCTATATATGAAATTTAAATTTTTTTGTATTCAATCATGTACTTTAAAAAATGATATATTAATTTTATATATCATTTGTTTTAATTTAATTAATTTACTACTTATTGCATTTTTTACTTATACATTTAAAACTATAATAACTAATTTCATACTAAATTTAAAGAATTAGTAGAGATTAAAGAATGTTTCTTATTTAAGTTATGCAATATGTATAAAAAACGTGGATCATTTGATGAAATATCATGATGTTACGTAATTAATTTTTAACCTAATCACGTGAGAATCATCCATGCAAAATGCTAAAAATGTTGTTAAAATAAAAACCTAATTCCTATTTGTAATAATCAACACTAATCCAACAATGCTAATAAGAATGAAGCGTATCAAAGGAATTGAATTTAAAGCATTTATAATATGTCTTCATATTCGCACCAACAAAAACTTTGGTCAAGAATCTCGAACCTAACAATTCACAAGTCATGATCAAATAATTACAACTCTTGGATAAATTCTACCATACCATACATTTATCACGCCTAAAAAATAGCCTAAGCCAATCAAACTTAGGAGCACCACCTAACCAACATTTCTACTACGAAACTAAGTTAAATTTAAATTTCACTCTTAAAATCAACATTCATGACAACAATTTACACACTTGTTAAAATTTGATTATTTTGACTTTTGAGATTTAAAATGTCATAATCATGATCGGGGGTGTTCGAGATTGCTTATTTCTAGTGTTTGTTGACTTATTGGGGTTTGTCATCGGTAATAAAGAGTTTTTAGTGTTTGGATAGAGAGATTTCAAAAGCACTTATCGACTCAAGGCATGTTCGGCAAAAACTAGTTGATAATGGGTAGTGGGTAGCTGGTAGCTTTTGGATTTAGAGAGTTTTGTTTAGGGCGTGTTTGGCACAGAGCTTTTGGAAGCGTTTGGGAGCTTCTAACTTTTAGCTTTTGACAAAACGCTCTAGTTTAAACAAAAAGCTTCGTTTGGCAGTACGAGCGTTTAGCTTTTAGTTTAAACAAAACGCTCCAAATCTAAAAGCTACTTCATGTAGCGTTTAACAAAACGCTACTGAGCTTTTGAAATCAATTTACATAATTACCCTTAAAAATATATTTATATATTATTTATTTTTAATCAGTTGTCCTTTTATGTAATTTTATATATTTCAAAAGCTACCAGCTACTTTTAGCAAACACTCATATAACAAATAAAAGCTACAGCTTCCCGGTACACGCTACCAGCTAACCGCTACCCGCTTCCAGCTAACAACTATTTTTACCAAACACGCCCTTAAACTAAACAGTAGAAGATTGTAGTTCCAAACAAGACTTTCTATTCAAAATGGAGCGTTTTGTCAATGCTAGAAGCTCTCAAACGCTTCGTATCGAATACGCTCTAAAGAGTTTTTAATAAGTCATTTCCTCCTTATTGACTTATTTAAGGAGTTTTTGATAAGTTATTTTATTATTACACACAAATTTTGATTTTGACAAACACTAAAAATAACTTATTAACTTCTTACGTTTCAATACCGGATAAGTTAATCTAATTTTTTTTTAAAACTTTGTTTTGATACCGGAGAAGCTAATAAACACTTTCATAGAAAAATACATAAGTTGGTTTTGAATAAGCAATCCCAAACACCCCCTCAAATGTTATATATCACTTGGGCATAAATATAATACACCCAAAAAACACACCGATATTGTGTAATAGTAGTACATCCGTCCAATTTAATTAACTAGACTCAACTTCACTCGGATAATTATGGTTTGTCATGGTTTTGTTTGGGTATCTCCTGAGCATCAAATCAAAATATACAAACAACAAATGACTTATAAATAATAGTCATCTGGTCCAAACACAAACACGCTTAACTACAAACGCAATCATATTACAAAGCATTTAATCATACAAAAAAAAAGATGATGAAGGTCTAGAAGAGATAAAGGGACATCTTGATTTTGTTTTGTTTCCACCTTGGAAGCTGGTAAAAAGCTGTTTTTGGCATGGAGAATTTCTCTTCAAACTCCTCTTCAGTTAAATAAGCCTGCACAACACAACAAAACACAAACACCAACAATATACAAAGTCAGCAGTGTGAAGAAGACAAGTTTTTTATTTGAATGAAAATGGAGATTGAAATTCAAAGTACCTCTCTCTTTGTAATGTCTATGTCTGGAACTGGATCTTTTGAGTTGACTTTTACCCGTTCGTATGGATAGTTGACCAATTTTACACCATCTTGATTGGGAATGGGACCCGAATCTTTGGAGGGAAGACTTGGTGTCTTATCTGTGATGATGAAAGAAAAGTTTGAGTTATATTGATCCAAAACATGTACATTTTGACCCGAGTCAAATCTCTACTAGACCTAGTCAATATCAGTTGTAATCATAGATTCCTAATCACGTATTGTCCACCATGAGAATCAAAATAAAATTAATAATTTTTAAACCAAACTCCATATGGAGGAGCGAATCACATGCAATTGTTGAAAAATAAACATACCTGTTTTAGTGCGAACATCAGGGGAAGATGCTGAAGGGATCATTCTGGGAATTGGAGGACTAGAAAATCGACGATTTTTCATGGTATTATTATTATTATTAAAATCAGGGCTTGAAAAAGCATCAGATGATGTGCTTCTAATCGTGTACGAGTCAAGAGACTGTCTCCGAGTCAACCCGTTAGGGGCGGGTCCCGGAGACGGTCTTCTTGACCCATTAGGAGTTGGAGACGGTCTTCTAAACCCGTTTGGAGTTGGAGACGGTCTTCTTGGAGTCGTCTCTTTCGTGTTAAAATTCGGTGAATTTCTCAAAGGCGCCTAAAATGGAAATTAGAAATTTTACCATATTTAAAATAATCAATTTCGAGAGAGAATTAATAAATAACAAGTAACAAAAATGTGTAAACAGTTTCTATTCTTACTTCGAGTTTCTGTGATTGGCCTTTTAAAATTGCAAGCTTTCGTTCAAATGAGTTACCAAGCATCTAACGAAACAAAAAAGAAAACGCATATCAATATTATATTTTCTTTAAAAAAAGTAAAAAAACAGGAAATGTTATTTGTTACATACATTTGCCTTTGAAGCATCCCATTCAAAGAAACGGGTGAAAAAGGGTGGTTCATGCCCTTCTGAAACAACGTATGTAGGAGCATCCATGGATAAGCCTTCTCCCAAAACATCTTTCTTGAGAAAAGCCTGTCATACAACAAAGAACATAATCTACATAAAAAAAAAATTGTTTGAAATTGTGTTTACATTAATCACATAACATTGCAAGTGAAGTCACTAAAAAAATATATAAAAGGTGTTAAAGAAATTGTACCAAGCCAATAGAAAGTGCTTGTTGCTTTGACTTAACAACCGAATTGTGGCCAACCCACACAAAAATTTCAGAGTAGCAATCAAGTACTAACACATCTTCAGTAGTTAAATCATCTTGTGTAAAGTTGAATATCTCTTTCACCTGAAAGTTACAAATTTGAAAAAGTTACAAAAAGAAAACTAAAAGAATGGGAAATTGAACTTAAGAAAATAAAATACAAGATTGTACCTTGAGATCACTCGCATCTGGTATCAAAAACAGTCGGGAACCACCATTAATTGCCATTACAATATAAAGAAAAAAAAATAAACAAAATGATATGTAGATATTTTCACTTACCTTTTGTGTATGTACAAACAAACAGATGTGGATCTTCAATGAATCGTTTTATATCTTTCTCTTTTGGATATTCAGTCTTTCCACCAAGTGTTTCCCAGAAAACATCTGGTTCGCTACCTTCCCTTACTAATATAGGTTGCCATGTTGGCTACAAATTGACAAAAATAAAATAAAGATTAATGTTGGGTACAAAGAATCTTGATAATTGAGAGAGTGATTTATGGAGTAAAATGAAGAGTGCACCAACATTTATCAAATCTAACATTCCATACAAAAGATCATGATCTCGTGTAGTGGAGAGATTTCCTAGCCAAGTGAAGATAGATCCATCATGAGCCTTTAAAATGTAGCAGCATGATGAGTTTAAAGATCGAGAAACCTGCAATGATAATTAATTAATAACCATAAATCTTAGAATTTAAACGTACAACTTGTAATTATGGTGATTTTACATGTTGGGGGAAAAAAAAGGATCTTACTTGATCAACTTGGATAGCCTGCATATTGTCACGATTTGTTCCTTGAATTTTGAAAAGGGCAGTTTTTTTATTATCATAAGTTTCATCATCAAGACCTTTTTCAGCAATAAATGATTTATATCGAGAACCCATACCACCCTAACGAATAACAAAACGCCCAAGTTAGAAAAACATAATAAGTGTCTGAAATATCACTTTAGGAAAAACCGAAAAAGAAAAGCAAACCTTAAACATAATAAGCGTCTGAAATATCAAAAAGAATTGACTCGGTTCCTTGTTCTCAACAATTCGAGCCTAAAATCAAGCCACAAATTTAACATATCAATAAATATTCGATGCAAATAATAATATTCAAATATTTAGGAATCGAGAAGATAACTAACCAAAACTGGCTCAAATTTAGTTGAATCAACAAGACCACTTGTAAGAGAAATCGCATCCTCCCTATCTTCCTGCATAGTTACAGAATCAATCGAGGTATTACTCAGATATAAATTTAATCTGTAATAAAAATTGTGACTTTATAGATTAAAATGTGGTATTAAAGTTTGTTATTACCACACAACTCTTGTTTCCAAGCCAAATATAAAATAGACGTTCCTCTCTTCCATTGGTTGAATATATATACTGCACAGTATAGCAATCTCCACTATAAAGCTTTCTCTGTTCCACAACAGGAACAGGGGACAATTTACCATTATTTACCCTCCAAACCTACAATAAAAAAGAAAAAAGAATATCCACATATAAAAAAGCTGACATGGCAAGATTCTTGTCATACAAAAAATTACAGAAGCATTTTGGTAGAAAGTAACCTTTAGTGTACCATTGCAATCGATATGTGACTTTTCATCTTCATCAGGAAGCTCCTCCACATCATACCCAGTTTGCTTGAACATTGCTAAAGTTGGAAAGTTGTTAAAGATTTAAATCTCTTTTCTGATTTTTTTTTTCTTTTAAATTCAGAAAATTTGTTGGTGGGAGAAAAATATTTATAAAATCACCTGCTACTTTCCCTCGTCCTTCTTCATAAAGTTTTGGTGCCACTGTTTGAGGCCAATCATCAAAATATGACTTGAAGATAGCAGTTTCTGCACCTTCTGTTAAAAAGGCTAAATGGGTATTTACAGGTCTTTCTTGAGCACGAAGAAAATCCTATATTTGGGTAGAAAGATCAAGAATCAAGATAAAGATTCATCCACATAAAAGTACACACACTACACACACACACAGTACCTCTGCTGCTGAGATTGATGTTTTGCGTTCTGTTATGTGGGTAGTTCTTCCCATCCAAACAAAAATTTGAGTATCAGCATCCAACATGTAGCACTTGTTTGACTCAAGCATTGACCTTTTCAACCTCCCACTTCCACTTTGAGTGAACTTTCCTTGAAGAGTTATCCTGTTGAAGAAAATCATAATATTACAAAACTCTTAGTATGTTGTATATTGATGATTTGGCAACACCATGAAATGTGATGTTAAAAACAGAAGATAAAAGTTTTAAAAAGATATGATCTTTTTTCTTTTGCATACTTAAAGTAAATAAAAGTTATGCAGTTTTTGAAAGTAACTCACCAAAATAATTTAGCAGATAAACTTTGAGGCTGTTCTTGAGTGGAGGGTGGGTCCTTGGGAATAGGGGCATAACCACCAAAAAAGTTCCAGAAGTCTCCCACTTCAGCATCACCAACAAACTTTCCATCCTCTAAGAAATAGCAATGTACTTTCATTGATTAGTTTATAATAATTTATAGCATCCTACTTTCATTTCTTCATATTAAGAAAAAGAAAAGTAAGTTGCTATTTCTTGCATTTAGCCGAATAAAAAATGACAAACAAACCTATGGCTGCTACTTCACAGTTGCCCTTGTGTTTATATTCTTTAATATATTGAACCACTTCCAATGCTTTAGCTCTTTCCTGTATACTCGAGTTGCAACCACTAAAGTGGAAAATTTTTGATGCAGTGTCAAGTATGAATACATCACGGTGGTTCAAGGACGAACGGGAAAATGCCACCTGTCATTATAATTTATACCAAACCATTAAAATTTAAAATTTCATTTCTCAAGATTTATTTAAAGTTGTGATCTTTGTTATAAGGCAAAAACTTACTTCTTTCACATGCACTACACGATCTCCCTTGCATGTTAACAATCTGGTTTCATAAGTTGGAGCTTTTGAGTGTACTTGCCCTTGGCCTGAGTAATATACACCTTCAACTGGGATGATGCAAGGTTTAAAGTATGACAAAAATTTCCCAGTTTCTTGACCTTCAACTTCTTTATATTGTACAGATTGAGACCCCAATGCTGCATCTAGTTCTAGTGCTTTATCTGATGCTAGAGTTGAGTCAACCTGCATTTGGATACGTGATTTCAAAGGGGTTATTGTGACTTAGGAAGCTAGGGATAGTTAGGTAATTTTGCATTTACCTCATTAGCATCGTTGCCCAGCCAATAATGTATGTCGTGTTGAAGAGCACCACTTTTAAGCAAAGTTGTCTGGCTCAATAAGAAAATGGATACATGTCAAATTTATTGTTAAGAGGATTAAATGAAAGAAAGATGTGTGGTTGACTTGGTCAAAGTGACTTACATGGAGAACTACATATGCACTCCCTGAGAAGAACTTCCCATGTGAAGATTGGGGCACTGAAACTAAACGGAGGTTCTCTACACACCAGATTTCTAAGCCACTAAATATTATCACATTAAGGATATGGCAATACTTATATAACTCAAGAAATATCTGTTTTTCAAGAGTATTGAAAAGTGGACTTTAATTATGAAAGGAGAAAAGCATTTAAATGTGCTGTTGAGTTCAATTATAGAGAAGGATACAGCTTTGATCCTGCACCTTGAAGTTCCAAATCAATAATTTTGTTGGATCCCATATTTCATTCTTCAGAAAGCATTAAACATGATCTGCATCATATACGATATTTGTGAATAGAATAAGGAAAAAAACAAAATGAACAAATCTTATCCATATTATCTCTCTTTTTTTTGTAGAAATCCATGCTATAAAAGGAATTATTGAAACTCATCAGATCTAATAAGAATCTTTGGAATGTAGGTAAGTTGCTTAACTAAATGAGTATTGCCTGTTTGATTTTTCGTTTTCTTTAATTATTATTGTGCACAAATCCTAACAAGATCATAGCTTTTGACCACCCAGTGTTTGACCCAACGTTTATAAGCATATCAATGATCTTTGCATTTGACTATGAGACATGAATGTGGGTTTGCAATTATGTACACTTTCTTTGTGTTATTTTTCTTCTGAATCTTGTTCTAATCATGGTGAGTTCTCAACAATCTATTCAAAAATCATAGTTTTTAACCTACCAACTGTTTTAGCATTCAAAACTGCAAGAACTTTAATGATAACAATATTTAACACATATTACCAAACTGATCAACATCAATACATGTTAAGGAAAACAAAACTAACCTTGATTGTGGCTTCTTCTGACAGAATCAAGAACTTCAAATCGAACGCGGAAACCCCCAATTGAAGATCGAAGGAATGTAGGTGTGAGTTGACACCCAAATGGAACAACTCACAGAATATGCTAATTAACCTTATTTTGACCCCTAATAAAATCCAAATTTATTAAGTAAATTTAAAAAAAATAGTACAATCAAAACAACAGAATTAGAAACTAATAATGAATGGAAGCGAAGTGGGTCGATAATCATAAAAAACAAGAAAGAAAACGAGGGTTTGCCTTTATCATCCAGCTAATTCGGGACCCACGTCGAGGGTAGCTTTTTGAATAAAAGCGTGGCGCCTAATTGAAAGCACATGCTGACTGGTGAGGTCATAAACGCCATTGAAGGGGGCGTTATTAAGGTAAATAAAGCTTTAAATGAGCAGGCATGGGTTATGCATTCCCATGATTGACGACTGAGGTCGAGTTTGTCCCATCTCAGTGGTCGGCGACGACAATTTGGGTGTGGAAAATTTGATTGAGACTTGCGGAAGACTCGAGCTTTGTCGGCGTTGATTAAACGGGATAATCGGACTCGGTCATTAATGATTGGAGTTTGAGATTACATCCAAAAAAAATTTAAGTTTTGATCTTTAAAATTTGTCTTCTTTCTTTAACGTAAATGATAAAAAGGGCAATGTGATGATTATATGTTGGTAATTTGTATGGTTTAATGACTTTAATCATTTTAATTTAGTTTGGTTTAGAGTAAATTAAACGACTGTTGTGGTTTGGACAACATTTGCATTTTGTTCATATATTTTTTATTTCTTAATAAATAGACAAAGGTTAGTCAACCATCGAAACATAGACATAGCATATGTGAAATCAATAAATAAGTTGCTAAGGTGTTGTTTGATTTTCTGAAGCAAAAATTCATGAAGTCTGCGGACCACCTCTGCAACCCTCTGCAGTAGAAGAGGTGGACCAAACGGCTGCAGAGTGTAATAAGAAGAGTGTTTTGTTTTTTTAACATCTGCATACTGCTGCAGATATTAAAAAATTAAAATAAACTAATTTTATAAACCGAAAATAGTTTTTTAATACGTAAAATTTAATAATATATAACATTTTGGCAACAATTAATGATAGTTCAGTGAAGAATAATGATATTTCAATAAAAATTAAAGATATTTTAGTAAAAAATAATGATATGTCATTAATAAATTATCATTATTGAATATAAAAAAACGAAAAAAAAAAATCAACAAGAATAAACAAAAAAAAGGTGAAATAAAATTTCAACAACATATAATCAAAATTACAGTAAGAAAAAAAGAAGAAGAAGATGTTGGAAGAGGTTGGAAGAGGCAGTACAAGTGCTGCGCCAAACAGAGCACGCGCAGAGGTTTTTGACTCCGAAGACTTCTAAAAAACAAACAGCTGCGAGATAAAAAGTGTTGCGCGTGTGCTGCGCCACGCAGCAATAAGAGGTTTGAAGAGATTTTTTTCAAAAAAACAAACAGCACCTAAGTAACCATTAAACCACATTGCTTTTAAGAAATACTTTTTTTTTTTAAATATTGATATTATCTATGAAAAATACACGTTTAACCTGCAAGAAAAATATCATTCTTTATGTTAAAATCTTCAAAGAAAAAAGACAGTCTTTTTCTCATCTTATTTTTATTTTCGCACCCTAATAAGATTTTTTTTATAGCATAAAAGGGTTTTTTTTCCAGCTCATTTACTGATTTTACATATGTCATTTGAAGTGGCTATTTTGTGTACATTTTACTCATTATTTATTATTTTTTGAAAGTAATAAATAAGATTAGTATAAATTATCTTTTTCTCTAAATTTAATATTGTTCATTGATTAAAAAAAAATTAACGGTTTCGATCTCATCTATACAGATTTAACAAAATTGATGTTAAAGTTAACAAACGGATTAAAATCAATACAAAATGTTGTAATGCAGATTTTACTTTTTGAAAATACTCTGCAAATATCGGAAAATATATAAACCATTTTTATATTGCATCTTTTTCGGTAAGATAAGCATTTATTTTTGTTAAACTATAAGTAACTGAACATTAAATTAACTAACTTTAATTTCTTTTAGAATAACAAATATTCATTAAAAAATGTTGATTCGATCGGTCGTGCCCAATGTTAGCATCATACTAGATATACCAAAAACTAAAAAAAATGAAGTTGTTTACCTTCATTTTTTTTTAAGATAAGTTATCTTGCAAGAAAAAAAATATCTTTTGAAATTTTACCTACTTAGCAAGTTAATGTTGAGATGTCGGTTGTCAAAATATATAGGAGGAAAGAAAAAGAGAAAGTTGATAATCTTTTGCTTATTTTCGGTGGAAAAAAAATATACTTTTAAATCTTCTCGTGTTCGTCAACGGAAGATAAAGAGCAATAGAGTTTGATGATTTTATAATTATATCATTTATATGTAAAACATATTTTGGTTTAAAAAGTGATAGAATAGTAATCAATTTTGATTTGTCATATATGATCGGTGGGTTTTAATATATATATATATATATATATATATATATATATATATATATATATATATATATATATATATATATATATATATATATATATATATAGGGTTGAGATCGGTTGATAACTCAAAGTTTCCCGAGAACCCGAGAACTAAAAGTGGAGCGTTGGATAAAAAGTAATTCGTTAAGGACATAATCGTCATCTTACCAATCTCATTTAATGTTTAATTTTTTTGTATTATTTAATATATTAATATAATTGTCTAAAAATTAACAAAATAACTCTAAATTTCGGATTTATTTTTTTAAAAAAAATAATTTTCGATTTTTTAAAAAAATGGAGATTTTTTAATTTTTTTCAAAAAACATAAATTTTTCAAAAAAAATGAAAAAATATATTTTTTTTAAAAACTGCATCTTTTTTTCAAAAAAAACAACATTTTCTTTTCAAAAAAAACTGCATTTTTTCTAGAAAAAAAACTGTATTTTTTTTTTTCAAAAACACTGCATTTTTGCATTTTTTTTTTAGAAAAAATGCATTTTTTTCAAAAAAAAAAACTGCGATTTTTATAGAAAAGTGAATTTTTTTCAAAACTGTATTTTTTTAACAAAAAAATCAACGTTTAGGTGCATATATGCATATTTTTTCAAATGCATATATGCATATTTCTTATACTATAATATTCGTAAGTAAATTATAAAAAATCTCATTTTTATTAATCAATCTATAAACATAATACAAGTATTTTATTCAATACAAAATAAAATATAAAAAAACTACAAAGATTCATAGTGTTATCATTTCTTCATATCAAGATTTCCATATTTTCTTCAATTTATCACTTTTCACATCTTCAATATTTTCCAAAAATTCTTCAAAATCTACAGGAAAATAAAAAAAATTTGATTAATGCAAGAACACGCACATGTATATATCATGTAAGATTCACATAGGATTATATAATGTGATATTCACATATGATTGTATCTTTTAAGATTTAAATGTGAAATTCACAAAAAAAAATTTAAAAATAATTAACGAATAACACTTACACAAAATGCATGTGTGCATATAGACGTAATTCATATGTGATTCACTTGTGATTTACATGTAAATCACATGTAATTCACTTGTGATATGTGATTCACTTGTGATTTACATGTGAATTACATGTGATTAATATGCGAATTACATGTGATTTACATGTGAATCACATATAATTCATATGTGATTAACTTGTGAATCACATGTAATTCGTAGGTAATTCACTTGTAATTTACATGTGAATCACAAATTAATCATATGTGAATTACATGTGAATCACATGTAATTCATATGTGAATTACATGTTATTTACATGTGAATCACATGTAATTTATATGTGATTCACTTGTGATTTACACGTGAATCACATGTAATTCATATTTACATGTGAATCATATGTGAATCATATGTGAATTACATGTGATTAAAATGTGAATCACATGTGAATCATATGTGAATTACATGTTATTCACATGTGAATCACATGTAATTCATATGTGATTTACATCACATATAAATTACATGTGAATCACATGTAATTCATATGTGATTCACTTGTGATTTACATGTGAATCACATGTAATTCAAATGTAAAGTTTGCAACCAAAATACTTCAATAAAATTATATTTTCATTTATATATTATACTAATGGATTAGTTTATTGGTCACCGAATCAGAAATCAATGATGGAACAGAAAATATCCCAAAGATTAATTAAAATATACCTCTTTCCTCGATGTAAAATGACCAAAATCCAAACGAAAATGACTGTTATACTTTGATGAGGCATTTAATCTTTATAGGAATTCTAATTTTTGGTAGGAATTACATTCATTCAAGAATCGTCCATTCCAATGGAATGATACATTCTGCAAGAAGAAATACAGGAAATTAGTAAATCTTTTTTTTTTGTTTTTTTGTAATAGTTTTATCAAAGAGCAAGATATTAGTTTCTCATATATATAGTTGAATTTATTAAAATTCATCTAACTGTACCTGCAAAGCAGTTGCTGTTTCATAAGCAACTTTAGGGCTAACAAAATTGTTCCTCTTCATAAATTCCAGAAAATAGAAGGAATTACATTAATTCAGGAATCGTCCATTCCAATGGAATGATACATTCCATTCCTTCTCCATCATACCATGGCTGAGCTCTTTGAGGGTTGCATAGATCCTACATGGCATTTTCCTTACAATATTCGTGATCATGTAGTATACACCCAAACAAGACCCAACTGCAGCCATTGCCAAAGGGGTGTCTTTCGTGCTCTGAAAAAGATAACACAAGCCTCAGATATAAGCAAGTAAAACATAGAATTCATTAAATCATGAACCACTTTTGGAAATATGAGTTTAATTAATGAATATAGTAACCTACCAGGATAATACATGTGACTGCAACTATGCACATGGACCATTTGATAAATTGTGCAACTCCAACATCAACTTCTCCATCTTCACAAATAATATATTTTCCTCACCAGCCAATATCTGAAACCAGCTCCTAACAAAATGATTCCAAGCACCACAAAAACAGAAACATGCAAGGTTAAATAAACTTTTCTGTAAGATCAATAGATTATAATTCTAAACCGTAAAGTAACCAATAGTGTAAAAATGAGGGACTTACTGGGTTCTGGACTTCTTGGCTTATCCCAAAGTTTTGGAGAAATGAATTCAGAAATGCTGAGAGGCTATGCACCACAAAAGATCCTGCTCCAAGCTGGAAAGATTACAGAATACAAAGCAAAAAACAAAACATTTTAGAAACCACAAAAGATACTTGGTGTCCCAAATCCTGTATATGAGTTATTGCTATCAACTTAGATGAACTGCAAGGGAGAAGAAACTTACTATTGTGGACATTATACCAAGGTAAATGCATTTCTCCTGCCAGTTGGCAGCAATTTCCTTGCCTGGTCAACAATAAAGATAATATAATTAGAAAACAATTAAAGATATTGCTAAAAATGGAATTACACAACAGAAGAAAATATATTTCCTTTTCTTCAGTCTACTGGTAAGAGAGAGAGACGTACCTGATAGAGTAATATGAGAACTAGTTTTGACACCAACATTCCTATCACAAAGAAAGTAAAAGATATTAAGATATAAATAAACATAAAAAAGAGGTAATGTTATATATTAACTTTTTATGATATGTGTAATATAATATATAGTTTTAACTTTACTCTATTAGATGTAAATTGTAATTTAGATAATTATATCTAATGCATTTTTTATTTACATTAGAACCCAAAAAAGGTCATAATAAAACATATAGTTCTAGTTATTTTTGGAAGATAAAAGTACACTTTAATTAACATCATGAAATTACAAAAGTAAAGATATATGTCATTGAAATGACATAAATAAAAATGGGCAGTACTGCAAATTTTTATTCCTTTCACATTCTTTCAAGAACTATCTATTCCATTTCATCAGACAACACAAATATCTTTTTTTAAGGAAAATTACATAATGTTGCAATATAGTTTACAAATATTGAGGAAGTAGAAACAAACCTAGATGGGTTTGAGGTCTCCTGTTTATTAATTGCTTTCAAATCTACAACAAGAGTCTTTTTCTCTACAGTTGACTTAGCTAAAAAGTCAACCGAGTCAGTTGTAGATGACATATAATTAGCTTTAGGAAGGGGAGAATGTTCCTTCTCTTGCTTGATTTCCCCAAATGAACCTGAAAATGGAGGTGCACTTGGAAAATCTTCCTTGGATGCTTGTCGTTTCTCAATATTTCTACAATTTGACTCCTGTAACAGTTGACTCTCAAAAGTCAACACCAATTCATAGCAAAGTAAACTCTTTTTTCACCAAAATTATCAGAGAAATAAGAGAATTGATTGATTCCCTATGAATTGGAATGAAATGGAATTCCATTCCATTCCGGGGTTTGATTGCAAAAATGAATACATAACTGAATTTTGTTATGTATTCTACAAATATGTGTTATGAATTCATATACTGAATTTCTACAAATATGTGTTATAAATAGAAGAACATCCTCCCATACAAGTGACAAACTCACCGATTTCATCAGTTTCTTCATCAGTCTGAGTCTGATGAAGAAAACATGGTGATTCCAATGAATTTGAGGGAGTAGTAGTAGCAACACATGGCTTTCCAGAAATCGTGATCTCGTTTATGTGGGACGCACTCGACTCAATGGATTCCAATGCTTGTTCTTCGTCTCCAGTAGATGAAACTTTATTTTTACCCTGATCGGAATCAAATAAACACATATGAAAATCCAGAAACGCAAAAAAAAAGAACACGTGAAATTGGGGATCTGATTATGATACCTGCAAGCGCTTCTCCTTCTTTCGTTCATTTGTCTTAGCCGATTTGGATTTAGGTTTGTTGACGACATCTTGTTCAGGATCATAACCAGGAGGCACAGTTTCCTCCTTCAACTTCGAATCATTATCGTAAATGCAAGTAGTTCAAGCATCAAAATCAGTTGGAATCAAAAGAATAAGAACATCAAAGAGTTCTAAAAAAATACCAGGTTTGAAATCATCCAACACCATGAGGGAAGAAATTGATTGTAGAAACCGGTGGATGGTAGAAATCGGCTTGAAAACGATTGCGGAAATTGATTGCATGTTAATCGAAAATTAGTAAATCAGCTTGAAAATCAGTTCTATTCACTGCGTGTTATCAGATGATGAAGCTTAAATATCGACAATTTCTTTCTTAATCGCCATCCATGATTAAAGAGGTGGTTGCCTTCAACCAACAACATCAAGTGAAGGATTACTCAGATGATGAAGCTTGATGGCGGAGGAAAGCGATGCAGATTTGCTAGGTGTGATCGTATGAACCAGAGGCGGAATGAAGATCAAAGGGAGGCGGGATGAAGAGAGCGAGAGAGATAGGGTAGAGGCAGACCTGATTCAATCCGATTTATGAATTATGTTATTCTTTTTTCCATTCCTAAAATGCCCCGATTCTTTTTCAAGAAACATACCCCCGTACCTTTTCTTTCCCATGTATTTACAAAAATGTCACAAAACATCCTAACCATCGATTATTTTGATCTAACGATCATCGTTTGGTTCTCAAGTTCTCGGGAATATATGAGTTCTCAAATGATCCTTCCTATATATATATATGAAAAAGTTCAATAGAGAACCATTATTAATCAAGGAACCAATGAATCAATCCAAAACGTCGGAATTTAAAGCGATCAACGGCAAAAGGAAGGGTTGTAAAATGTTATAATGGACGCACATGTACCGGATTATAACAAACTCACTTCCTTTTTTTCATTTAAAATTTTTTTTAGGCCAAATTTTTTATCGAAAAAAAAAACCGAATATACCGTTGTTCATGATTTTTCGTCCTCTTTACATAGAGATCAATGATGATATATAAAAAACAAATTTTTTTTTTTTCGATAAAACTCACTTAATTTTCTTAGTTTTTTCAATATTTAAGTTTATTTTTATAAAAAAAAACTAATTATACCAAAAATATTAATTTTTTGTATTCTATTAATAAACATCAACACCTATTAAAAAAACAGTATAGATTCACACTGTGAACTAAACTGTAAATATTTCAATTTTTAACATTCGCAATATAAAAAATCTCGAACAGTTCAGATTCACATTGTGAATCTGAATAACTATTATGCACACTGTGAATCTGAGAAAGTTCACAAAAAAAAAAAGAACTTCGATCAGTGTAGATTCACACTGTGAATCTAAACTGTAAATATTTCAAATTTTAACATTCACAATGTGAAAAAGCTACGATCAGTTCAGATTCACACTGTGAATCTGACTTATTATTATGCACACTGTGAATCTGAGGAGCTTCACAATGTGAATCTGAACAGGTTTACAATATGAATCTGAACAGGTTCACAATGTGAATCTGAACTGAAATATCGTTTTTTTTTTTTTAAACATGAATATGAATCTATGTTTAAAAAGTACAAAAAATATGAATTTTGATATATTTATTAATTTTTTTCTATAAAAAATAGACCTTAACTTTTTTTTCATTAAAAAAAATTAAGTGAGCTTTTTTTCGAAAAAAAAAATTCGTTTTTTATATATCATCATGGATCTCTATGGAAAGAGGACGGAAAATCGTGAACAACGGTATATTCGATTTTTTTTTTTGATAAAAAACATGGCCTAAAAAAAATTTTAAACGAAAAAAAGTTGTGTGTTTTTTTGTAAAGGGTGGATTTTTTGGTATAATCCGGTGTGTGTGCGTCCAATGTAAAAGTGTACATCTATTTCCTTGGTCGTTGATCGATATGATTTCTGACGCTCACGATGAGTTCCTTGGTTCTTTGGTTAATTATGGTTCTCTATTAACCTCACCCTATATATATATATATATATATATATATATATATATATATATATATATATATATATATATATATATATATATATATATATTGAACGGCTTTTGGTGCAATGGAGTGTCTTGGTGTCACCGTGACACCAAGTCACAATGACCCGAGTTCGAAATCTCTCCGAAGAGAATAACCACCCCCACCTAATGCCATTTTAATTTATATTAGTTAATATATTATCGCAAAATGATCAATATTGTCTAATAATTGTACTATTTTGATGATCATTATATATATATATATATATATATATATATATATATATATATATATTAAATTCAAAGGATCTTAGTAACAGTAAATTTTTTGATTTTAGGTTTTTGCTACAAATGTTTGGTGCATTTGACATTTTTTGTCCCTAAAATCAAAACTTTTACATTTTTATGTTTTGATTAAGTTTTTATGACTTTAGGTTTTTGCCACAAATCTTTAGTGACTTTGGCACTTTTAGTCCTTACAGTCAAAAGTTTTACATTTTGGTGTTTTTGCCACAAAGCTTTAACGAATTTGACACTTTTCGTCCTTGTAGTCAAAACTTTTACATTTTGATTAAAAAACACAAAAAACATCTTTTAGAATTTTGCCACTATATTTACCCAACTTTGGCAACTTTAAAAAGCGGCGGAGCCGCGTGTCCTTTTCTAGTTTAAATTAAATATGCATGAATTAAATATAATAAAAACGTTACAAAAAGATGATTAATAAAAAAAAATTATTTAATTTTGAATTAGTATTTGTGATAAACTCAGTTATCACAGTACAACGAATGAGAAGTCAAACGGACAACAAATGACACGAAGAAAGACAAGATCAAAAGCCAAAAAAAGACTCAAATTTTATGCATTTGAGAAAACAAGAATTGAAGATAAATAAATGAGGACTAATTTTGTTGTTTAATTTAATTTAATTGTTGGAAAATATTGATTAATGGTTTCTGAAATAATTTATTCTAATTACATAATAAAACTAATTAAAAATACGGAAGACTAGACAGAAGATTAAAAATTATGGAAGACTAAACAGCAAATTCAGAAAAAAAAGGGTAAATTATACCAATCGTCCCTCGTGTATATGCCCAAAAGCACGTTTAGTCCCTATTTTCAAAAAATTAACTCGGACCGTCCCTAGTTTTGTTTTTTCTTGCATGCTTAGTCCCTCTGCACATAAAAAGACCATTTTGCCCTTATTTATTTATTTTATATTTATTTATTTATTTGTTATTTATTAATTATTCATTGATTTGTTTATTATAAAAAACAATTATTATTGCATTTAAAAAAGAAATGAGTCAGTGCATTTGATAACTCATTTCCCCATCCCCTTCTTCTTCTTCAGACCACCCACATCGACGGACTTCAATGCTCCGACAACTCCTGGACATCGTCAGTTTCAAATAGAGGAGATCGATTCCAAGACACCGACCAATTTCAATCTCTATTTTACTCTCGTCTCATGTTTCCCCTCTTCGGTTTCAAACAGAGGACCACTACTTTAGATCTAGGTTTTCGAACAAAGGAAACCCTAGGCAGCGCACAGGTGACGATGGCGATGGCAACACACATGTGACGATCTGTAAACGATGGCGATGGTGAATCTCGATCTGAAACCCTATGTGGTGGTTTAAAACCCCAGGTGGCGAATCGAACGTAGCCACATATTCTCCACAGATTACATGGATCGATTGAGAACAAGTAACCTAATCGGGTGAATTAAACCACCATCAGCAGCAACAATTCAGTTGCTGCCTTCCTCCTTCTCCGCTTATCTTCTTCCCGTCTCACTCTCTCTTTCTCAATTTCTAAAACCATATGAGTTACAAATTTCAGATTTGGAAACTGGAGATGAAAGGTGCAATTAGGGATGGTTGGAGATGATGATAGGAGTAGGATCAACGAAAGGAAGAGGGGAGCAGATCGAGTGGGGTTAGGTAAGGGTGGTGGTGAGGGGTAGTGTGAGTGTAAAACAAAGATTGTTTTCGACAAACGTGGTGGCAACAGGCTGGAGATGGTGATGAACGCAAAGAGAGGGTTCGTCGGAGAGATTATTCATCGACGATGACTTAAGAAAAAGTGATTTTAAGGTTTTCTCAAGAGTTAAGAAGAGGATGACGAAGAGAAATCTGGGAAGAGTGGGGTGGGATTGGGTTTGGGTATTAAGTGGGTCCATATATTTTTTTTATCATTAATAATAATAATAAAACATTAAATTAATTGAAAAAGAAATATAAAAAGGGCATTATGGTCATTTCAAATCTGACATGGACTAAAATCGAAACAAAATCATATACCAGGGATGAAGCATGTAGGATTTAAACAAACGAGGGACGGTCCGAGTTAATTTTTAAAAATAGGGACTAAACGTGCATTTTGACATATGCACGAGGGACGACTGGCGTAATTTACCCAAAAAAAATTATAGATTCATGTGGGATAGATCCACCATGACCCACGACCCATCAAGATCCACTTATGTGGTTTCACTTTTTTGGGTCGAGATCTCCGATTTGAAGAGCCCAATCAGACCCTCTTTGATCCATCAAGCTTGGGTAGTCCGATCCCTTTAATTGAGAAGCCACTTAAACTCCAATAACCAATCCATGTGTCTATGCCTCTCCCCTAACTCTCTGGAAAATTGAACTCTCTCTCTCTCTCTCTCTCTCTCTCTCTATATATATATATATATATATATATATATATATATATATATATATATATATATGGGCTTAGGTTATTTTATTCAAACTAAGTATTGTATGAATGTATGAATCATTGTGGACCAATCATTTTACTTATTTTTGGAAAGTGAATAATACATATTATTAAATTAAAGATAATTAAAAAATACCATCTAATTTCATTCTAATGGTATTTTAGTCAATTAACATAAATTTAAAAAAGGAAAATTGCATATTTTAAGGGAAAATAGATTCTATTAATTTTAAAAATCTGATTGTATGGATGATAATTCTCCTAATTCGGAAATTCTGACGGAATATGTTTATCAATATATTAAAAAATAATAAATATGATTGAACCATACAAGAATACACATTCTGACATAATATATATTTTGATTTAATGAACTTCTTGAACAATAACAAAATTTTTGATACAAGTTAAAAAAAAAATTCATTACATTCTTAG